CCACTTGGCACAGTGTGGCCATTTAGGCCGAGAGACAAAAGCCTGGCAGGATGACGCAATGTGAGAAACAAGACCTCTGCGTACCAGGTTACCATTATCCTCCATAGGAACAGCTCTGACCCACCCACCCGGCCACCTACACCACTGCAGCTGTACACAGCTCAATGATGGATCCAGCCTTTCAGTCTGGAAGAAAGCTATTTATATCCTCATTCAGCCTGTCTCTGATGCTATTATTGTGTTTTCTTCCCATCCCCAAGAGGCATTATCCAGGCAGCCTGGTATGAAGAGATGTTTCTTTATTTCTCATTTATTATAAATAGATCATTGTGCCCAAACATAAAGAAAAACTTCCTGTTTCCAATGAAGGACCCTGCAACTCAAAATCTCATCCACCCCCACCTGATTCCTAGCTCAACGTTTTTAAAACTCAGAAGTTAACTCATGCATGTAAAAAAAAAAAAGCCAGCAGTGGTCATGTTTCTTCAGATTTTAATTTAACTGGATTATCTAGGTTTTTAAAGCAATTATAGCTAATAGGTTTCCTGTTAAATGAAAAGAATATTCAGGTTCTACAGTGTCATATTTCAGATGGAAAAAGAGCAAAGAACAATACACAATCCATCCCTTTTGATTTAAATGGACTAAGCATTTCTTTTGATTTAAAATCTGTTTTATACCTGAGTCAGTACAACACACCAACTAATAAACAAAACAACTATTTCCTATCCAGAACCGTCACATACTACAAACTTACGGCCTTCCATGCATTGTTCAAAGAATAACAAAAATCATTCATACAGTCACGATGGGTAGGTCTTCACTGCATGATAAGTCAAGACCAAATACATTTCTGAAAAAAACTAAATATTTTTCCTCAAAATACTTGAGGTTTGCATGTGTAAATATCTATATGGATGAGGTGGCAACAGTTTGTCCTGTACTTTGATTCCCACCAAAATAAAGTACTTTGCTGTACATTTTGAGTCTCAAAATGACTAGCTGAGATTTAGAGATAACACTGTACCTTATTGCATCAATTCATCCTTGACATACTGGGGAAATCTCTCATGAACAAATGAATAAATCAAAGTGAAAGATGTCACTTTATGAGTGGTGGTTTTCAGCTTGTGAAGTATGTTTTATTCTTCCTGCTAGTCATATGCCCCTCTGAGCCCCTTCAGATTCTGCAATGATGCAAAGGTAATGATGAAGTGTTAAGTGTTTTAAATTGCCAGTTCTGCACCACATGTTAGACAGTTATATGCATGTCTGTATGGAAATAGCTTGGAAAAGGAGCTATGCCAAACTATGTTTTACACATTCCTAAATCTTCCTAATGGGAGGGGGAAAAAACCCCCACTACTTCAGGAGTTTATGCATTTTTCCTAGCTGAAAAAATTGGAGCTTTTTATTTGCAGTGGAAATGCAGCGAATCAGAAGCATATATCTTTGTCCCTTCTAGCCTTTTGGAAGGCCTTAAAAATCTGGCTTTTCCCCAGGTGTTAGGATAGCTTGAGTCTGGAGCCCAGTAATTCTGATTTTTTATCTACTGGCAAGTGCTGGTTTAGGGCACTGGGAGTTGTTCCTTTAGATGTTGGTTTTTATCGTTTTTTTATGTTCGTATCACTGTTACTGTGAGCTGCCCAGAATTCATAAGGTGGGCAGCCATATAAGTCTAATTAATTAATTAATGCAGCTTTCCTTAAACCACTGATTTGTTGCAAATCTGCTCCTATGATTCCAATGGTATCCTGGCTAAGAGATAAGGGAGGGTTAGTCCAGCACATCTGATAAAGAAGTTGGATTGTTGTAATATCTAAAGACATTCAGATTACATTCATACCTGCGAATGTACCCATTATATTCTTCTTTGGGGATGGGGTGTAAGCAACATTATGCTGAGTGCAGAAAGGGAGTAAGCCAAAGAAATGAAAGGCATGAGATAAGAAAACATAGCTAAATATACTTTATATTGACATTTATAACACTTCTCCCCACCTTTCTATCCTTTTTCATCATCATCAACATCATCATCATCAAAAATTTATTAAATATATATGCTGTCTGACTCCCAGGGACTGGGACATCATGTCCATATATTGCTTCATACACTACCCTTGTTCTTTAAACTTCCCACTTTTTTTTTTTTTTTGAGGATTATATAAATTCCATCCAGCCATGACTTTCTTGGTCTCCTCCTTCCTCTCAATCCAATCATTCTTCCATCATATACCATTTTGCAATTCAGTCCTCATTCATTCTCTCTACATGGTTAAACCACTTCAATGTATTTCCTATATATTGGTCACTTGTTTTGGTATTTAATCCACATTCACTCACCACCCATTCATTTTTGGGCCTCACTCTGGTTGTTTTACTGCATAATTTCTTAATTACACCATTCCCACCTCGTTCGGCTTATGTTTCTCCTGATATACCCAACTCTCACTTCTATATAAAGAAGTGGACAGAACACAATCTTATATATAGCCATTTTTGCTTCTTTTGACAAATATCCGTTCCCCACAAGAGACTATACAGTGTATATACCAAATACCTTTCTACTAGCATGTGTACATTTTGTAATTTCTCCATCCATTTCCTCATCTTTAGTAAACGTTCTATCAAAGAACACAAATTCATCTACTTCTAGTTTTGAGTCAGTTATGTCTGATGTGAAGTCATTTGTTACATTTTCCATGGTAATTACCTTGGCCTTTGAAACTTAATTTTCAGTTCCATGCTCCTTGTTGCATCATGTAAGTTATCTAATGTAAACCGGAAGTAAGATTGTCAGCTAACACACATCATCTGCATACAGTTACTTTCATATCCACAACCAGCACACCTCTACCATAACCATATGTATTACTTATAATCAATAAATACATTAAAAAACCAAGAGGACATTGCATGTCCTTGTCTTATTCCTTGTTCCCCACTGAATCATTTGCTAAGCACTCCCACATCATTCTACTTTTGTTTCTTTTCTTCCATGTTCATTTTATTCCAAGACCGACTCTTGATACTACCAAATATAAGTTTGCTCCACATTCAAAATGTCTCATCAGCCAGTATCCTTCACTAATTCTCTCAGTATTCAATCATAAACAATCAAATCAATAATACTTTTAGATTTATGTTCACTCTTTTGCCATGAGCACGTATGAAAAAACCTATGCTTTAAGCCAACTATTTGAAACAAACATACCTTTCTGTTAGTAGATGCTCACCAATCATTATTCTCATTCATTCTTGGAGTTCCAAATGGCCCAGTCACTTTTTCAGTACTCTTTTGTTTCATTCCCACTCATCCATTCATGTCACCAAATTGAATGATGTTTCCCCTGGATCACATTCATTTAGAACATTGCACAATTGTTCCTAAGATTAATCTGGTTTTTCCATCATAACTACTGGAGCATAGATCCAACTATCTTTACTCAGACATGTTACATCCTTCCTATTTCCATATATATGTATATGTATATGTATATGTATATGTATATGTATATGTATATGTATGTATGTATCTATTTTTCTTTCATTCATTTCATTTGTCAGTTCATACATTTTACTATTTATTCCTTATACTTTTTGAATCACAATCTTCTTTATGCCATGGTCAGGCCCAGAGATACTGACTGCCACCATCCATTATGGCTTTGGTCACTCATATGATTATGGTCAATGATACGATTTTCACATGATGCTTTTTAAGAGAAGGTGTATACTAGCCTATAACCTCAGTTGTACCTGTGCCACATACAACAGAATCAGTGCTGAGTTGGGAGTCCTTATAAATCTAAATTATAAACAAACAAACAAATGTTCTCAGCTACAGTAAGGGCAGTAGTAGTTTGTTTTGACCTATTTTAGCCAGTTTGCTACAAGTCCCACCAAAGCCCAATTTTATCACAAGCATGCTCACATTATTCTATGCAAGTTAGGAACTCTAATCAAGACAGTGACCCCCTTGCAAGCCAACATACCAGAGCCGACATATCTTTCAGGGAAGATTGTCCACCATCATTAATCCATAAGGAATTTCTGCTAAGTTCTAAGGAAGTAAAGAATTTCCCAGAATACTGTAAGGAAAGCACTATTTTCCCCATGCTTATTCTCAAAGTCAATAATGTTTCAACAATTGACATCTCTTGTACAATGCTTTGAAATGACTTGAAATGGAACTCTAATAAACCCCCTCTGATGTCCCAATGGCTAATTAAAGACATATTTCTTAAAAGATTCCATCTACACATAATGAATACATATGGTCAATCATAGCCGTCTGTGAACTTGTGAGGCTGGTCAGATGTGGGAAGCAGGCTTAAGTTCCATGATGTGACAGAATGTGAAACCATTAGGAAAAAGGTATCTCAGTCCTGGGAAAGTAGAAATTGTAAAAAAGAAATTCAAAACAGCTCCACCTTGATTGGACAAGGGGCTCTGAAGTAGAGAGGGGCTTTGGCAGGCTTTCAAGATCTAATACCCTAACTGCATTCAAGTACTTTCCTAATGACTCCTATTTCCTAACTCATCTACCTTGAAGGGTTGATTCACTGCTTGCTTTGATGGGGATCCAAACTCCCTGACATGTCTCATGCAGGCTTTTTTAAATAGTACTTTTGAAAAGGAAACAACCAGAACTAGGCTATTTTAATCACAACAATATAGTCTAGTGGAATAGATGCTCCATGCAATATCTTACAGACCTCCTCAAAGGGTGCAAACCTTGCTACATAACAAGAATCCCATGTAATACTTTTCATACCAATGAACACAGTAAGTAAACAAACGTGATATATGCCAAAGGGTGAGTCACACAATAAGGAAAACTCCACGCTGTAATAGTAAACTCACACAAGAGAATAACAGTGAGGTTGGATGTAAAAGAGTAATGAAATGGAAAGTAGATGAATCCTGTGTTACACTTAGGTGAGATATGGTGATAGAGAATTCTGTCACACTCCCACAAAAACATATAGAAACATATAGACACAGCCACAGATTTTATTGAACAGTCTCAATACTGAAGTGAGTATTGATGGCATTACAGCAACTGGACACAGCTGCAAGGTTCCTTTGCCTCTGTAAGTGGCGTAGCAGAGTACAGAGCAGCAAATGCATAGCCACACAGGGTGGAACAGCACCTGCACCCCTTTCATTGATCATGTATTTCTGAGAGGCACAGGGACCCAAGCAGGAAAGTGATAGCAGCCCCAGCTATGGTGTCCCCTAAGCTGCTTCTCTTGTAGGCTTGTGTTATGTATGGAACAGGTGAGGGTGGTGGGGAACATCCTTTCCCCGTGAGTATTCAATGGTTATCTGGTTACCTGTGGAGAGACAAGACAGACATGGGGGTAGTAAGAATTAATGAGTAGTAATTGTAACAAACATGGTAATGCTCATGGGGGTTGGGAAATGTATGTTCAAGAAGAATACTCTGTTCCTGTCCCAGCCCCTTTTTATTATTGCTGGCTTCCCCTGAGATTAATATGGGTACAGTTGCCGAGAAGACTGTACAATAATTGAGGCAATACTCACCCTTCTGGTGTGAAAATATGGAATGATATTCTGTCTCTAGTGACTATTCATTTTGGGGCTTGGCTCTAATCCTGGAAAAAAGAAAGACTTCATGAGTATTGGGTCTTTCAGTTAGAAGAACAGAATGCTTGATATTTCCAACTACTGTGCCTATTAGGGTTGTGCAGTGCTTCAGATTCAGTTCCAGAAAGGTGACTTGAAGTGTGCAAGAACACAAATGGAGCATCTTTCTGCAACTCTCAAAACAGAGACATATTTTCTCTGAATTCCCTCCCGTCTGGACAGTGCATACACACCATGTTTCCCATATTACAGCAGATACACGTACAAATTATTGAGTAAAAAGTGAGGGGTGAATGTTAACAAAAGCAGAAGCTTCTCACATACTAGGATAAAGTGAGTAGGAGATACATTACCCTGGCTCACACATCATTCTAAGTTCTAATGTAGTTCATTTTTGGTTTGGGCATGTATGATTAACCTCTATAACCAAGGGAGTCTTCTAAGTTTAGAAATCATATTTTAAGGAATGGGCTTCTTCCCCACCCCCGACCAACCCCCATGAGCTCCTCTTGCTTACCTGTGTGGGATATTGTGACCGTGCAGTCTCACTTGCAGTTGAGTTGGGTTTTCTAATGGGTGTTTGTCAGTCTGGAGTTCTTCAGACTGTAAATTCTCTGAAAGTTATCTGAAATAAAACAGGCATTTTATACCTCATCTTCATTTCTGGAGGTTGGCCTTGACTATTTGACTAACTGCAGATAGTGTTCTGTTGCAGAAAGGGCCCTTTCACTGTGCCATCCGAGGGAGAAGAGAAATGGAGCTCTCTGCTTCATGTCTTGATATGTGGCAATATTCTGTTGCAGGAACTCCTATGCCAGTTCTGTAACTGGTTTCAGAATTAATTGGAATCTTATCCTGCACTGATTGGGGTGTAGAACAAGAGGAAGAAGATAGTTGTCTCTGTGTCCTCAGAAGTAATTTCTTTTGCTAGAGCAAAGGTGGGCAATTGCTGGGAATCCACCACCACTGTTGCCAAAAATAGGTGTTTTTCCACCATTGCAAGCAAGAAATGCATTAAAAACAGTACCGTAACTCCTAAAATATGCTTAATATCATTTATAAGCAAAAGAAACCGTAGGGGGCAAATGTATTGGTCCCAGCCACTTTGTTTGCTCTTCTGTTTTAGCTCTGAACTTCTCTTCCAAAAAAGTTGGTGCAGCCCTGAGAAACAAAAAACTCTCATCAGGAAGAGGGCTAAGCAAGCATATGCATTCGGCCTCTTTCTTCCAGGTGCTACATTATTCCAAACTAGCTGGGAATTCTGGAAGTTGTAGTTACAGACATGTCAGACAGGTTATCTAAGAGAGAGGAGTCAGAACTGAGCCTCGAGCTTCTTCAAGTATCTATTAATCATATGATTAGAATATATTTGCCTATCTGTAGATGGATAGTGTTTTGGATTGCAAGTAATCTACCCAGTAGAGAAAATGTTTAAGCCTGAGGCTCCCAACAGGAATGTGCTGACAAATTATCATAAAGATACACAATTTGTGGAATTTAGCTTCAGAGCATAACGACTGATTTTTGTGGTTGTTGGCAGGACCTTGAAATTGTAAGTAACTTTTTATTTATTATTATGATTGAGCATGCCAAAGTTAATTTATTTTCTCCAAAGAAGCTGGAACATATGCTGATCCAATGTACTATGATGTTTTTTTCCTTAGGTAGAGTTGTTGAGATTCTTCACTCCTTTCAAGCAGACCAGCAGAGGTTAGACATGGAGTTGCTTTCTGTGATTCGTGTTTATGGACACCTACACACATAATGGTTTGGTTTTAAAAATTCCAGTTTGTTGAATTCAACCTCAGTTTGCTGAATTCATACATCACATTGTGTCATGAATGAACAAGAACAACCTGCAAATGCAGGTTATGGAAAATATGTCTCTGTGTTTTTATTTACTTTCTGTTCTGACCACATCTACTTATCATTCATCTTACTCATACATGAGCCCCACACATTCCACAAGATTCACATGCAGAGCTCAGTATGAAAAAAAATAGCGTATCCATGTAATAAGCCATGAAACAATGATTTATCAACCACGAGCAGGCTGGCCTCATACAAAATGCTATGTCAAAACCAAACAAATCATATTATGGCTTAGTACAATGTATGAACACCATTACAGACTGTTGTAGTTTTCCTTTACATTGTTAATGAAATAAAAAATAAATTCTTACAACATACAGGGCTAATCTGACCATTAGACAGAACGAAGCAAGGAAATTGGGAGCAGATGAAAGTAGAGCACCAGCCCCCAGCCATTCCCTTCTTCCAGACTTGTGTGTAACACACAATCTACTCAACTACATTGAACAAACTAAGCTAGCCTGCTGTCCTCAAGTGTGATAAAACATCATTGTCCCCTCACCAGTACTGAAGTCAACTGTTCTGCCAGTCAATTGTTCTATGGTTCCATATGTGATTTATATGGTCCTATTTAGTTATTTTATAAACAAAAGAAACATAATTCTTGTTGGGGTCTTAAAGGTGAATTACCTGTAAAAACTGTTTTCAGGTAGAAAAGACCACCTGATTCTTTCATTTTTAACACAGTAAATGCACACACCATCTTTTCCAATCTGCCTCACCCAAGAATTCTTGACTTAACATGGCTTCCTTGCACATTCAACACAAGGACAAGAGCTGAACCAACGGAATGCTTGGCAAACTGCGCCTCTTGACCATTTTGGGTAACTTCACAGCAGAGATGAGTCCTATATAAAAGGCTTTTATTCTCATATAGTGAGAAATTCTTAGTGGGTTTGAAGAAACTAATCTTTTCACAGAATATACTGAAAGCCTTCCTGCTTTTCCCACAGAAAGAAGCAAAGTATATTTCCCACAGAAAGTATAATTTCCCACAGAAAGTATAGCAAAGTAAAGAAAGTAAAAAATGGACTATTGTACTAGATGACTTGAGAATCTCAATAGTATCAAGCCAAGAAAATGCAACTCTTTGTAATTAAAGGGATTAGTTTTTAAAAAATTAAATTTTTAGTCTGGGTTGTCAAATCAACATTTTCAACGATGCGTACTGTAATTTGACAAGTGCATTCATGGCCTCTGTTCACAATGTTGTCTTTTACTATGAAGCAATATTTTAATGTCCTATTAAATCTGTGCTTTGCATTTAAGCAGAATATTAGCAGCAACATATATTTTCCAGAAATGTTTTCATCTAATTATAGAAGTACGCAGAAATAGACAAGATTTTGGCTATTAGAGAAAAAATGTATTTTTAGGCCTCTCAAGATGCAATCCAGAGAATCTCTATACAGTATTGATATTTACATTTCGATATGCAGGAGGAAAGGAAGCATTTGTGACCTATTTAGTTGCTCATTTGCACTGGTTTCTAATGCAAAGCCTCCAACTTTTCTTTTAACTAAATGAGAATGGGTAATCCAACTTGTCCTACAGTAGTTATGTTAAACAAGCAACAAATAGTCCAATTTTACTAACATGGTGCAATAGCACACTGACAAATTGTTTTCATTATGTCTCACAATAACTTTGTGTGTTTCCTAGAACTCATAATTCATGCTATCAACTTTTTCGGTGGGGTAAGGTGAACAGCTAGAGTAACAGGAAGAATTCAGCAGGTAAAGCTTTTTTTTTTTTTACATGCAGAGAAAAGCATCTTGGATTTCTGTTTATTCTTTTAATTGCCCCAAAACAGAGTGATAATGCATGCTATCCAATAAGTATTTAATTCTACCTATTACTAATTATCATACAGATTAGATATGTGGTTTTGGCAAGTCCCATCATTCAAATTCTACTTTACTTAATGATATTAAAGTCAATAATCTACTAAACCTCAGCATTTAACAGCAAATTGATTTATATTAACTTTTGTCACTCCAAAAAGAAAATGGACTGATTAAAATAATTTGCTTCTCATGAGACCCAAAATGGAAACTAATAGTTACTCTAATCTTATACCAAAAATATTTTGTAAGCCTTTCTTTTTTACTGAAAGAGTCCTTTGTTTATACAAACTTCCCCCTACCTCCCAGTTTTTCTTTAAAACAGTATCCCCATAAGCCTAACTTCCTGTAGAGGGAAAGGACTAGTTGACAGATTAATTTATTCTATCACCCTTTAATTTACTTTAATTTGCTATCATATCTCTTTGTCCAACTTTCTTTTTAACAGTTCCGTTTACTTATGAAAAAGAACTAGATGAACTCTTTTGGTAGTACAATCAGCTGATACAATTCATTCTGCACTAATACAAAAGTGTATCCTACAAATATCATGGTTATACATTTACAATGATAACTTATTTTAATCATATTTAATGCCATGCATATAAGCATTTTATAGTGACCAATAGGATTATTTTATTGTAACCTCATAAAAATGCTCTGAGATATTAGGTGAAATAATGCAATGACTAAATCAGTGTTTGTCAACCTTGGCAACTTTAAGAAGTGTGGACTTCAGCTCCCAGAATCCCTAGCATTTCTGGCTGGGACATTCTGGGAGTTGAAGTCCACACATCTTAAAGTTGCCAAAGTTGAAAAACTCTGGATTAAATCAATTCAAAAACTTTAAGGATGAGTTTATATATGACTTCTCTTTTCGTCAGTTCACATGAATCCCTATGCTTCCCTAACCCAGTTCCTCCAAATTTTGGATTATAGGCCGTATATTCTCCAAGTAATGATGAAAGCGATAATCCAAAACATTTGAGGGCACCAGACTGAGAAACCTAGGCTATACCTCTCACCCTTTCAGCTGTGCAAATGTCATGAGTTGGTGTTGTGTGCATCAGCAAGACAAAGTAGATAAAGTGTTGTTCTAAGATCTGGGACACTAAGGATCAAGTCCTCCCTCAGCCATAGAAACTTACTTTTGGGGCATCATTCTCTCAGCCCAATCTAATATGGTTTTTGTTGTGAGAAAAAATGGAGGAGTACTTTATATGCCACCTTGAGCTTCTAAGTACAAATTAACAAACAAGTCTAACAAAGAGAACTATCAAAGAACTGGAGCTCTTTTCCTACAAAGAAAGGTAACGGAGTTTGATGTTTCTACACACTATTGTAATTAAAAAAGCAATAGACGTAGAGGTGGAGAGCGGTAATTTCCCAACCTTGACAACTTTCAGTTGTATGGACCAACTCCCAAACTTTTCAGCAGTAGCCATGGTAGCTGGTCCAGACATCTGGATGTCACCAAAGTTGGGAATCAGTGCTTTAGAAGTTTACCAGAAAAGGATGATGAACTGAAACCACCTGAAGGTCTAATGTTTTTTTTTTTTTTACTCTGTGGCTGGCTGGTTATGTATTTATATGTATTTGTTGGATCTATATGCCACCAGATTCATTTTAAAATATCAGTGTAACATTGAAAGATTCTAGATTTTGTTTATTATAGTTTAGCAAAACATTAACAACTTTAAAATTTAATGGCATTTCAAGAACCTGATTCAGCATAGTGATAATATTTAACTAATAAGGAATTACAAGTGGACATGTGGGGCAGACCATTTTATTCTATCTGTTTGCTCTACAGAGATCCCAGGTAACTGTCAGTTTCATTTGGACAAGGAAATGATCTTAGCAAAGGGCTAAAAGAGATGCTCTTAATATCCAGATCACATAACATCTA